GGAGTACCTGCGGGCCGGCGGCCGCGGCAAGGGGAAGGGCGAGAGCGCCAGAGAGGAGGCCAGGAAGAAGAAACGGGACAAGCAGCCGCAGAGGAAGGATGGCGGGGACGGGGAGCAGGACGAGCTGGAGGAGGCGAGCAAGCTGCTGGTGAAGGTTCTGCATGTCTCCGAAAACCCGGCGCCCTTGGTGGTCAAAGTGAGCCCGGGCACCAAAGATGTTCGGCCCTTCATCGTGTGCTGCGTGCTGAGGGGAGTGAACTTAAAGCCGGGAAATGCCCTGAAGAGGTTCCTGTCCGTGCAGGTAACTGCTGCAGTCGCACCTTACTCATTCCCAATGGGAAGTAGAATGTTCTAGTCTCCTGCTAGAAGATAAGTTTCGGAAACTTGGGATGAGCTCTCTGTGTAGCCAGGGGTGAGGGTCCCTGCCACCCCGCCAGCCCCGGGAAGCAGAGCTGGCCTGGGAGCTCAGGGGTTAGAGAGGACGATGAGCGTGTCCACGTTTGCATTGCCTCTGTCACAACAGCTCGTTAGTGCTGTGGAACCTCTTGAGAACTAACAATAAACACGTGTCCACGCCAGAAGTAACCTGGTTTGGCTCCAGGTTCACTTATTGCTGCTGAAACTGTGTTGCTGTGGAAACCTCTGGCTTTCACCTGGCCGTCACCTGGCAGGTGCTGGCTTCCTGCCCAGGACGAGGCTTCTGCAGCTGTGGTCATCTGCTGCTGTGAAACTGTTCCTCTCCCAGCTGGGAGTCACATCCCCTGCTGCCGTACGCTGGGGCTGTAATTCAGACACGACGTTTTGCAGGTGAAGAAAGAGCCTTGATCAATGTCCAAGGGCTACTCACCCAGCCCATAATGCTATAAACTTACATACATAAGAATGTTGAACCCTAGGGTTCAATGTGAACAAATCACATTGATGTTTTTGGTATATTTTGATGGTTTTCTTTGTTTTAGACCAAGCTGCATGAAGACATCTGTGAGAAGCGGACAGCAGCCACGATCGCCACCCACGACTTGCAGCTGATCAAAGCTCCTCTGACATACGATGTTCAGCCTCCTGAGGAACTGAAGGTGGGGCTAGTGGCATCCTTTGGCATTGACACTTTTTTCCCTTTTGTTTTCTGGAACTGTATAGAATAGGAAGATTTTTTTTTCCCTACCCTGTAGATCCTAGAAAACTAACTCAAAGGATCTTAATTTAGAAGCTGTGCTAATTTTCTTGCATATCCTGTTGTAAGAAAGCTCACAGAGCTACCTAGTGTTACTCAGGAGTGCATCTGTCCAAGGACTTGATCAGGGAAAGCAGGCACAGCAGGCTTCCCTGTTTTTAAGTAAGTGATGCTAAGAAATCACACCTGCTTTTACTACCCAGGAGTGAGCCTGTTTCTCTGGTGGGTGTTGTAGCTCACACGAAGGTTTAGACTCGGGGTGGTGGTAGCAGTCTGTGTGAAACAGCAGGTGTATTTCTGCACTGGAAGGGGTGAGAGGAGTGACAGTGTGCAGACGTGCAGTTGTAGTTACTGACTTGCTTATGGGGGAGTTTTAATAACCCCAGTCTTTGAGTCACTCTTAAAGTCAAATGTTTGTTTTCTTGTCTGGTGTAGATCACGCCCCTCGGTCGAAAAGAGATCAAGGCAAAGGATCTTCTCCGCCAGCTGGAGTTAGAAGCTGAGGAGCAGAGGAAGCAGAAGAAGCGTCAGAATATCTCTGGGCTGCACAGGTCACTGTGCTGATGTTTTGTGGTTTACTTTGTGTGAATGGGGGTAACTCCTATGGGAGAAGAGCCATAAAAGAGCCATGCCTGGTTACTTAGAGCAGACACTGCAGCGTGAGTTACTCCTGGTTGTAGCCCATCACTCCCTGCAGCCAGTGCCTTTCCTCAGCTGTATCACCATGGTACAGTTCTGCTGAATTTCAGTGCTCTGATGTCTGTTTTTCCTACATGGCAGATCAGGAACACAATCATTTGCTTTTTTCACTGCCTTCTGCCGTTGTGTCAGGCTGCTGCTCCAGTTGCTCACGTTGTACTGCTTTTCTTCTGGCCAGGTACCTGCGGTTATTGGGTGGCAAAGATAACTACCCGTGTCTCGTGGATGCCGAGGGCGTTGTCATTTCCTTCCCACCAATTACCAACAGTGAGAAGACAAAGGTACTCTGTGAAAGGGGAAGTACATTGATCAGAATTAAACAGTGTTTCTTTCTGCAGAGAGATACTTAATTCGAGATTCAGGGGTACACACAGTCCTGTGAAACCTGTGATTGTGTTCCAAATATAAACTTCAAAGCCTGAAGCTTCTCTGCTGGACAGACAGGTTGCAGTGGATCTTGGAGTCGTGTTTGTCCCTTTGTAAATCTGCCAGGCTTTGGCAAGCTGCTGCCTTTGCAGAGGTGGCTTTGTGGAAGGGCAAGGGCAGGGGGCTTGACTCAGACAGAGGGGCAGTGCTTTGCCTCTGCTGGAGTCAAGTGAAAGCCTTTCATTCAGCCTGTGTACTGCAGTGTGGGTGAGCGTGCTCTGATTCCTCACTTGACTTACCTGTGAAATCCCTGCAGATCAGGAAGGACACCCACGATCTGTTTCTGGAAGTGACAAGTAATACCAGTTTACAGATCTGCAAAGATGTCATGGACACCCTAATTCTGGTAAGTAGTTCAGGAAAACAATCTTGGTGTGCTTTTTAACAAAATGTTTAATTGCTCACGTGCATTGAAAAGAATACAGAAGTGGATTTTTATTTTAGTAGCAGTATTGTTT